GCGCATTCACATCCCTATCGACGATTTCCTTTGCTTTACTTCTTTGAAGTGCATTGTAGAGGTTTTTATGTGTAAATCCAACATTATGATAGCCCCCTGCCTGCTGCGTTAAATAGTTCATTACTTGTGACGTGCCAACACCGACCTCTTTCAATGTTGTTGCCTCATCGATATCAGCCTTACTTACAGCTCTATTAGAACGCATAAATGGTGTCATAGCAGGTGTGCACAATGCATGATTATGTTTCTGATAAGACTTACTTATAACCCTGTGATCGTTTGTATTTGTTGATGTAACTACAACTCTAGCCTTGCATCCTGTTCTTGTGACTGGCGTATGAGCACGTTAACGATCAACAGTATTGCCTTTTGATACTCGAAACCCTTCTTTGGAACAACAAAATTCTTTTGTCCTCAGATTCCCTTCCACGTCAAGCCGTGTTGTTCCCTTACGTGCACTAAACCCATGTTCCCGTGTGAATCCCTTGTAAAAGTACCAAGCTTGATCACGTGAAGAGAAGAGCTGACCAACCAATCTGTCAGATTCATCAACATTATGTACTTCATGGCATTCCTCGATTGGCTTAACATTGTCTGCATCAGTATGATACATGGAAAAAATTTTGTTGTGCAAGTTCAGTGGTCCCGAAGTTGATGGAGATGTAAGTAAAGGTTTATTCAACATGTTTCAGTCGTGCTTTCAATAGGATGTGGTATTGGTAGTGGTAGTTGACGGGTGGGTACAACATTAAATTCACGTGACATATTTAGGTGTGTACAATAACTGTCTAAATATGTGTCGATACTTTTTCTAAAAGTATCGACCCAAAAAACATCGAACCCAATAGTTATAATGTAATAGGTAAATTAACAATGTAACTGGTATAAATATACCGGTTAATTAGAAAATAGGTATATATAATGTATCAACACTTGTGTAATTTGTGTCGATATTTATTGTCCAAAATGAATGCCTAAACAAGGTGCACGCATAAAGTGTCAATACAATTATTAAAAGTATCGATCCCAATAAAATAAAAACCAATAATTATAATGTAATATGTAAATTTACAATGTAACCGGTATAAATATATCGATTTTTTTGAGAAAATAAGTCATCATAAAGTATCAACACTTATTAAATTTGTGTCGATACATTTTGTCCATAATGAATGCCAAACGGGTGCACGCATAAAACGTCGATACATTCATTAAAAGTATCGATCCCAAAAACATCGAAACCGATAATTACAATGTGATAGGTAAATTTACAATGTAGTCGATAGAAATATATCGATTTTGTGAAAAAATATATCTAAATAATGATCGACACTCTTTAAGTTTGTGTCGATACTTGTTTCCAGAATAAATGCCGAACGAGGTGTACGCATAAAGTGTCGATACATTTAAAATTGTATCGATCCAAAAAACATCGAAACCGATAATTATAATGTAATAGGTAAATTTACAATGTTACCGGTATAAATATATCTGTTTACTTATAAAACAAGTCAATATAAGCGCTATCTATTATATTATATAAGTGTTACCTAATATGTTATTTTACTTGATAATATTTCCGGTTAAATGATATAACATAACCAGTCTAAATTTTAACCGGTCACGTTGTTTTTAGGCGCCGCACAGTAAAATTACTGTGTAGATGGGGAAAGTACAATTAATAGAGGAATATCAAGAAATAGATGCTAATAAAAACGAAAAGGTAGTTCACTTCATTACGGAAGAAAAATACTGAAATCTACAAAGAGCTACAGAAATAGTCTTAGGAAAACAATCAACCAAATTCGGAGTACTCTGATTCTGTTAATGAAATCTGGACGAGAAGAAGATAAGATAAAGACACTCAAAATGAAAACTACACGGTAAAATTTTCATTGAATCTATTCTTAACAAAGAACAGCAGATCAACAAAGTTAGAATTATGATTGGATTTGGAAGGTGGAAGCCACGAAACACATCAGAGTCTTTATTTGATTAAGCAAACTAAATAAGTTAAATACGAAAGAGATCAGAGCTAGAAAAACATGACGCAAAATGCTAATTGAAAAAAATTGTCACTGTGAAACATAGACACTAGAACATATCCTAAGAACCTGCAAAATGACAAAACTCGTTTAAGAAGAAATCAAAGCACACTACAACGATGACCAATTCAACATTAGGGCCTTTAGTGATTGGCTGAATAGGAACTGTCATTCTAGAAAAATATGTAATGATGGGATTCATTAGGGAACTCTATTCTCATTAATCGTATGGGGATTGTGGAAGGCTATGAACGAGACGATTTTCAACAATAATAATAAAAACCTTGCAAGGGGCATCAAGAAAACAATGGAAACGTCACACACAAAAATTAGCAGAGAACTTCATTAGGCGAGGTGGAGGAAACCACTAAGGTAGCTGGAATTTTAACACAAATATGACTTGCAAAACGAACACCGACATGACTTCGACGGGGGCATGATTAGAGAATGAAAATCGGGATTCAATGATTCATAATGAACATCAAAAAAATTATCAGTGCCATGATTGAAATTTGGGGAATCAGACAAGGTTTGATTCTCATGAAATCCCTGGGTGCGATAAACTTAATAGTTGAAGATGATGCAAAATGAGTAGTCGATATGTTAAACAAGAAAAAAAAACAAGACCTACAAAAAGAGGTGCTTTTCAAATACTGTGAAGAAATAAGAAAGGAAGGTTGGATAACAGAAATTAAACATACATAGAGAGAAGGGAATCGTTGCGCCGATCACTTGAAAAACTCGACTTTTATAAGAGGATTCACATCATTTATGATCCCCGATTGAACTAACTCATCTACTTCAGGAATATATCAACGGATAAGCTTCTCTAAGAAGGTAGATTACAAAACGTAGTCGTTCTAATGTACCAAAATATATTTTAAATTATATTATATCTTTATTAAAATAAAAATATTATATTTTATTAATAAATAATGAATATTATTAATTATATTAAATATTTATTAAAATAAAATATTATTATAATACTGAAAAATATAATATTAAAATAAAAAATATTATATTATATTTTAAAATTTATTGATATATTTTAAATATTTAATGATTTAATAATTTTATTTTTATAAAATTAGTATTAAAATATTATTTTAAAATTAAATATATAAAATAATATCATTTTAATTATTTAAGTATTAAAGGAAAAGTTAAATTATAATTATTTTAAAAAAATATAAAATATTTCTATTAATTTAAAAAATAAATTATATTAATCATTTATTTTTCACTAATCAAACACTAAAAAGTAAGAAAAATAGTATTCTAGAAATTCAATGACAATAAACACAAATGGGTTAATATAAAAATAATTATATAAGTTATACTCAAAATTAAATTTTTGGTGTCTAAATCATTTTTGGTTAAATATAATTGTCTAATATTTTCTCTGTTACACTTTTAGGTACCTATCGTTAAAAAATATCAAGTGAAATTTGTCACGTTCAATTTTTTTTAAATAATATTTTATCTGTTAAAAAATTAAAAAAATAAATTTGACACATGTCACTTTAGAATTTTTTAACGGTAGGCACTTAAAGTGTAACGGAAAAAACATTAGACACTTATTTTTAACAAAACAAATTCTTTATGCACCAAAAAATAAATTTTGAATATTGTTTAGACACTTACAATCCGTTTGGTTCTAAAAAATATAGCTATTTTCATTTTCATTTTCCTCGAAAATAGAAAACGTTGAAGAATGTGTTTATTTGTGAAATTAGAAAATAATTTCTGAAAAATGAAAACAAAAACAAGTGAAAATATGAAAACATAAAAAATGAATTTTCAGTGTTTTAATTAAGATTATTTTGAAAAATTAGAAAATAAGAGAATATGGGACTTAGATTTTTAACTTAACTTAAATGACTTCGAATCCTTCTAACATTTTTTTTAAATTAACAGTATATAAAATTATCAATTTTAAAAAAAAAATCAAAATGGTCCCTGGATTTTTTTTTACATTAATTTTGTAGTATTCTTATATTTAATGTATTTAATATCTTAATATTTTATTATATTTTAAAATTAAATAAGTCCTCAATTTTTTTAAATAATCAATTATGCCCTCAAACTTAGCCAAAAAAACAATTAAGCTCATATATCACATAATTGTTTATCGTGTACTATCATAACAATATCGTGAACTATCACATCAAAATGTTGTAACTTTCGTCGGTCAAAAGGTTAGATTACTTTTTCTTCTTCTTAGTATAAGGATCACATTAAGTGCAAAAAGTGTGTCAGGACTACACTAGTTTTCCCCCCAAAAAGTTTGAGTGTCTTAATTATCACTAAACATATTTTTATTTTGATAACATTTCTATGTGTTTTTGTTTACAACAATATTTTTGTTATTTTTTAAATTTAATTGATGCCTAGACGCATTAAAATTATATTCTTATTAAAAATTAAAATAATTTTTATGTTATGAAATCTCTTACCAATGATAAATAATTTTGTGTTATGAAATTTCTTAACAACTTTATCATTTTATATTTACATAATTCATATGTTAAAATTATGTAATAATTTTTAACAATTATAGTTTTATTTAATTATTTAATAAGTATTTGTTCATTTTTATTTTAAAAAATTAAATATCAAATATATTTTTATCATTTTTATTTCTAGATTCAAATTTTCATTTATATTAATTAAATAATTTTTAATTTTAGAAAATTAAAAATAAAAACTATTAAAACAAAAATAAAAAATAAAAAATATTTTCTAGAATTAAAGTAACCTATTTTTATATTAAGCCAAAATAAATTAATGCGCAGTCTCAAACTAATTACCATTTGATTCGATTAATAAATTATTTAGTTTTTACACATTGGGAAACCCTAGACGTTTCAACAATCATCTTTCAATCTCCAATTCAAAATCCCGTCTTCCGCTGATACATTTTCCCTCTCGTTTCAGTGTTGCTTCCACCCTTCTACGATCAACTCTCATCATTGTCTAACACTGCGCACCTGAAAACCACGAAGATGCTCCACGGTAGTTTTCGGATCTCAAAGCTTTGGCAATCTCCGATATCTCCGCCGTTCAGCTTCCCTCATCGTTTGCTCATCAAATTTGAATTCTCCTCTTTATTTCAAGCTATGGTTCTTCATTTTTTTTCTGTTTGGTTGCCGAGAAGATATAGCGAAATCTCAAGTAGTAATGTGAATGCATTCGATATATGATTTTTTATAGCACCTGCTATATGTGTGAATATATTTATGCGTTCGTGTAATTTTTAGTTTTTTACTCGTTAATCAGGAAATTATTAGCAAAGTATTACGATAATAATATTTGTTGAAGATCATGGCTCTCTAGCTACTTGGATCTGGCTTTAAAAAACTTGAATTGACTCAGTTATTATTGAGTTGAGCTTGAGCAGCTCGAAATATTGACTGGACTTGGGTAGCTCACGATCTTATCAATACTTGAGCGGCTATTGAAAATTTTCAATTTAAACTTGAACACGAGATTAAGTAAAAATAATTGAGTTGAGCATGAAGTCTAGTGCGGAAATCGAGTAACTGAGCTCATTTTTTACTTGCTAAACGACTCTAATTCTGAAACTTGATTAAGTTTTGACTGAGCTTTGAGTCTCTAATTTCTAGTCAAGCTTGAGGTTCTTACAGACTGAGGCTCTGAGCTAGGCTCGATAGAATTGCATCCATAGTTGAAGTATTATAATCTTATATAATTGGGATAAAATTTACCGAAAAAATCTATAACTAGAGGTTTATATTATAGAGTTATGTGTCCATTGGTCATATATTGTCTAGAATGAAAATAGATACTTTGCTGATACTTTGCTGTTTTCCTTTAATCTGTTTTTTATTAAATAATTGTGGAGGTAACAAAATCGTAGGGCTTAAATACTTTGGATGAAGGAAGTAATGAATTTTTTCCTTGACTGGAGCGAAGGTCTGGGACTAAGATTTCTTCAGTGCTTTCGATTGGAAAATCCCCATATGGCAGGTTATTTCAATTTGTTTGTTTAGTTTTTAGTTCGGGGTTAACTTCATATTAATTTCAATTTGAACTTTTATTTTGTTTTTTTATGTTATGTTGTTCAATATGTTTATATCGTGTTTAGGTTGACAGTAGAGAATTTTAGAATCATACTTAATTATCAATGTTTGAAAAGGTGCATCTTTCGCTGAGGTGCAAGGCAATGAGTCCAAAACGTATAATTTTGGATAAGGCGAATTTAATAAGACACTCAAGGCATGCGAATTAGTTTAAATTTTGTTTCTTATATCTGCTTGTTTGTTTTTGTTTTAGGATAAATTATACTATTTTTTCAATTTTTCTAATTTAATCACTGAACATTAGAATTATTACTTTGAATTATTTTATTATTATTTTCGTGTGATGTGGTAGTTTTTTATTATTATTTAATATAAAAATAATTTAAAATATAAAATAAAAACATAAGGTGACTAGATGTCATCGTTGGCTGTCGTCAATCGCCGTAGATAGTGGTCGATTGGTCCCAAATTTCAATGGGTCACTTCGTCACGACTCCCTGAGTATGATTTGCTACTGCCGACTGCCCATGCTGCCGCCGACTGATTCTCCTATGCACACAGTGACTTTATCAATCAAAAGCAAAGAAAGCAGGAGTCAAAACTCATTAGATCTAGGATTTTATTCAAAGCCTTTGTATTTTTACATGGGTTATAAAAAACCGATTGAAATGTAAAGAAAAAAAACTTTTTACTCAACAATCAAAATCAGAACTTAATATTTGAAGGTATTTTATTTTTTTTCTATTTTCATTCTATGCTAGTTCGATGTTTCTAAAAAAAATAATAAGAATTTTGGTTTACCTTGCTGTCGCGGAGGAGGTAGAGATCGGGCTAGGTTGATTGAGGTCGCAGTGCCACCGTGTGTGGTGGCCTGCCTTATGTTTTGGCCCTCTCGACTAAGGAGGGAGGATTAGGTTTGGTTTTCGTTGGGTCTGCTGGCGAGGTGCTTAATGGCGTCGATGCTTATTAATCGGGGGTAAATGGCCACCATTATGTGGCGGCCGGAGCAGCTGATTCTTAGGGGGAAAGGGGCTATCGCTGTGAGTGATAGAAAAGGGAGATAGAGGGTTAGGTTTAAACCATCGGGTAGATTGGGTTTGAAAAAGGGAGATGTGTTTTATTTTGGATTTTGGGAAAATTACACCAAGGTCCTCATACCTTCAGTGTGTTTTGCATTTAGATCACTAAATCATGGAATAATCACGCATAAGTCCTCTAACCTTAAGAATACCATGATATTTTGGTCACTAGTTTATGGGTAAATTCCTTCTTCGGTCCTTGTCTTTAGCAGATGTAGCTTTTAGGTCGAATGTTAGTGGGTAAATCACCTTTAGCTCTCTATATCTTTCCCTTGTTTTAGTGTTTTAGTCACCTAGTACTTCATTTTGATTTTTTTTTCTGGATTTGACATTATGGTTCATTTTATTACAGTTTAATCATTATATACTTTGTTACTTCATTAAACTTTGCCACTGTTTTTATGTACTTTCATTTTAGTCCTATATATTTATGTTTTATTACGATTTTGGGGCTCATATTATCTAATTTTCATGTTTCATGCCTTGAAGTTTGTTTTGTTTATATTTATGATCTCAAATTTACTATGCATTTATTTTTGTCACTATGTTACAAATGAATACGTGGATATTATTTTATATTGTACCATCAAGTATGTTTTATGTATTACGTATTTATTTTACGTATATTATTATGTATTATTTTACGTACATTATTTTATGATATGTATATGTAATATTGTATGTAGAGCCTTGTGTAAATATTATATTTTACATTTTATTATATTTTAGAATATATATTATGTTCTATGTTTAATATCATATTTAGAAAACAAATGTATAGATTTATAAGGTAAAATAGAGTTTAAAAACCTAATTTTTTTTTATTCCATATGTATATTTATAATTTTTCTTTAAATGCTTTAATTTACCATTTTAATTTAATTATATTTCATTTAGTCATTCATATTTAATCATGACATTTTATTTCACCTAAAATCTTCATAAGCATAACTCAACCGATTCATAATTGTATTAAGGGTAGTATTTATTTATTTTAAAATATTAAGAAGGGACGGTCTTAAAGTAACTGGATGTCATTTTCTGATGTTTTAAAATAAATAAATACCCCACTAGAAAAACCTAAAAAATTAATTAAGTTTGAAAGGAAAAGCAAATATTCACTTATTTAAACTTATCTACACAATTCGCCTAATTTTATTAGGGATCAAGTCTCGATATTTTTAAATATTTAAATAACCCTTATCTTTTCTAATCATATAATTTGTTTAATTTGGCTTAATTTTTTTATTTGGTCGAATCAAATTATTTTAATTTCAAATTCTTGAGAGAAATTATTGTATTCCTTTTACTTCAGCTGGAAAGAGAAATATTTGTCCAAGTATTTTAGGGATTATTTTCTCTTTGATTGAAAATATTGAAATATTTTTAAATTTTTCTTTGGAATTTTTCATTCAATAAAAATTGTATGGTTGAATTTGGAATAATGGGATCGTAATTTAAATTTATATATGAATTCTTAGATTTCCACAATTAGAGACAATTTATAATCGATGGGGTACCAATTTTGGGCGTTGTGGGGGTGCTTATCCTTCTCCACATGAATCGATCCTTGAACCCTCTTTTATTTCAAAAAGTATGAATCTCTGTTACACTTTCAAACTGAATTATAAAAAACGTGTCGACAACTTGGCGGATCTGCTGGGGACTTAGTGGATCAAGCCCTAAATCGATTATATATTATCTCTATAGTTGGAAATTGAGAATTCAATTTTATTTAATTCATGATTCTTTTGATTCCTTCCAATTCTTTTATTATTATTCTTTATTATTTTATTTTATATCCTTGTATATTAATGTTTGTATTTGATTGATTTTTAGATATTGAAATTTTGGGATTCGCTTTAGTTCAATTTTTGTGTCGTTGTTTGTCAAAGGTTTGAGAATTTCTCCTCACACACAACACGTGCATTACATAACATAATCTCTATACTCGAGCTCTTCCGTTTTAAGTGGGAGTGAAAGCGACGTCTTTGTGAGAATTTATTCTCCATGTCAGACCTAGCAAGTAGCTTTCGGGCTTCATATGACCTATGTCTTCGTGAGGATTTATTCTCCGTGTCAGGCATAGAGAAATGTGCCCTCTAGAATTGAACTCGATCTGCTTAAGCCTATAATGGGTGAGGATTGAGGGTCTGGCTCGCCTAAAGGGGCACCCGACAAGGACAATTCGAGTACCTTTCTCCTAGAACCAAAACATTGCATGTAGTAAATTGTAGAAACACACCCGATCTAAGACCGTGCTGAAACTCTGTTCGTAGGTACCCAAATAAGTGTACACAAAGGAGAAATGAATCTAACCTTCGCCTTTTAATTTATTCGATAAATTCTTTTTGAATAATTGCATGTGAACTAGAAATTATACGGTAGGGTTTTAATTTCCTCTATGTGTTTCATTCATTGTATTTTATGGTTCATTTACCAGTTGAATTTAATTTTTCATATTTCACTGACATACATTTCATCTCTTTGATTATTATTTTTGCTAACATCTTTTCCATTTCCTATTGCTTTATTTGTGTATAAACATGTTTTTAATACCTAAGGTAATTATCAAAATTAGAAGGTTTTTAAAATGACAATGCCACACGAAGGGATAAATATTTTATCTGCTTTGACATGTGGGGACGTTGTGAGTTCTTTGAAAGTTGTTCTAAGATTATTTGTTTGAAATTAACATATGTTTCATACATATCATGTCATAGAAGGTATTGATTCTTGAGTTAATAGTCCCATTAGAAGGCTTTTAATACGACAATGTCACTCGAAGAGGTAGAATATAAATGCAAAAGCGCCTCAATGGCCGAAGGGTACTCCAGGAAACAACTGAAGAGCTACGTCAAGCTGGAATACATGAAGCTCAAATGATGTAGTAAAACAAGTTTTTCAAAGGTGCTACGACGATGTTGATACAACTAGCCAAAAAGAAATAATTTGTTTGAAGTAATAAAGCAACAATGATAGCCAACATGAGACAGTGGATGATGTCAATCACATATGGTTACTCAACAAATGTATTTCTGGAAAATAAGTCAAAGCGTTGGAATTTTTCCATCAAGCAAGGATAAAAAAAATATTGTTTCCTGCATATTCAATCAAAATTGAAGAAGTCGAGAAGTGTGATATGGTTTGTAGTTTCCATTTGTCTCGATGTATTGAGATATTATGTGTTCTTTGGGAGTTGTTTTATGACGATTACTTTGGAATCAACACCTTCGTTGCATTTGCATTTTTGCTTTTGCATTTACCTTTACACTTAACCTGTTGCTATATGTCCTAACTTGTTTTTTCTATCTTTCTTTTTCTTGCACCATATGGTCATGACATACACAAAAAAGTGTTGATTCTAAGTGGTTACCAATTAAAAGGTTTTCACAATAGACAAGGGGTTTCATGATCAGGTAGGCCACGATACAACTAGGAAATGGCATCTGAAAGAAGTTTCAAGTAAAGTAGAGAGTCGTACGTCCAGAGATCGTATGTTTAATGAAGAGAAAGTGAATTGCAACAAATCAGGGAGCAAATGTCCAAGATGATGGATAGAATAGTTGTGTTGACCAAAGGAAAAAAGACTTCTACGCAAAGAAATAAAGAACTTGACAAGAATAATTCTGTAATACAAAAGGCTACTTTTGAACTAGGTAATCTAAGCGAACTTGAGGATCCACGTGCAATCATTGTCTGCATTAATAAGTTGTCAGGAAGTACAAAGGAAACAGTGACAACGGTAAAATTGCAAGTAAATGTGGATGAAAGGAAACCACATGATCATTTCAAACGGGGTAAATTCGTGTTCACTAAAAATCTAGATGCCACCAAAATACCTGTGAATATGAATATAAATGATAAT